ATTATACAAATTGAGGGTAAAGATACCCAAATCAGTCTACAAGGATGTCACAGCCCACCAACAACAACATACATAAGAGCCAACAAAAAAGAGAAGAGAAATTGGGAATATCACCCAAAAAATGCAGGTTACACCAGCTGCAATAACAGACGATCAAGAGCTCCTATTGACGATCTGAACCATCAAGATGTAGTGCTGTATGTTGTGAACCAGCTGTGAAAATTTCAGAACGATCCAACGGTCGGATCTCTGGAAAACTGAAATTTTGTCAAGGCTGTCCAGAAAATCTGCATTCAAACCCTCTCTCAAAAATCTGCTTCTCTCTCTCTTTTCGTCACGTCAAAAAAAAACCTAGAAGAAAACAGCAGCTCCCAAAGACTTCTAGAAGAAGTCAACAAAGCCCAAAACATATGGGCCACACATCAATAAGTGATTGGGCTTTCACTTAAAAACAATATAACAAATGGGCTGGACCCTTAACAGGAACTTGTAAAAGATTTAATTTGCTCATTAACATACTTGGAATCAATTACCTTTAATCTTTGAAGTTCATTTTACATAATATGTTTGTGATCGTAGTACTTTAGAAAGAATTTCATTTCGTATGCATTAGGCAACTCGAATTAACTCATAGGTTAATTCAACGATTCTACATCAACAAGGACCCGACTTTAAGATAAACATATTCAAGTAAGGAACATAACAATCTCCTCAATATCCATAGAGATAGATATACAATACTTCTAGTTGCTAACATAGTTATAGTCAATATCCATTTATCCTTTTCACAAACAAGGTCGTGGGAGGCTTTCTTAGTACAAGGAGGATTGGGCAAAAATAGATGATGGTACAATTTCATCTTTGGCAACAAACAAACCAATGCTTTTGTTGTACCATCACCTTTTTTGTCTCCTTGTTCTTAGCAAGTCTCCCATGACCCTGTATTTTTGGTTGCTCCAAATGCACCACATGTCAAGGATGCTCCTCCTTTTCCTTTTGGTGTTGCTTCTTTTGTGTAACTCCCCCTTCTCTTGCTCTTTCCTTCTCTTTGGATTAGAGTTTTCGTTGTCTCCAGGAAGCAAAAACCGTCTCCATCAATCATAACAATTTCCCCCTTTCACATATCTTCTCTAGATGATGTTTCAGCATTGTCGTATGAATCCTTGGCAAATTGTCATTATTTTTCATAATAAACTCATATATCGAGTCTTCATTAGAACCCCTTCTTAGTCCAATTCCTGCAACGCCTTTTCAATCATCTATAACAAAACAAAACATTCGAGTAGACTATAAACATTCGATTTACATAATTAATTAACAAAATTCATAAGAGTTAATCCATCCTCAAAATTGAAATCTATAACCAAAGAACTCATATATATCCAATAATCAATCCTATTTTTTTCCCACAATTCGGGAAAAAAAAAAGATAAATGAGATTAGTTAAAACTTTTGACAAATTAGTTAATTCTAAAAAAGAAAACACAAACTTATGTTAAAAAATGAATTAATCAACCATAAAGAGGATGATCAAGGGTAGTCTGAAGACCATACATAAACCGATCAACATGTTTATGAATTGAATTTTTGGCCTCTTATAATGGCGCATTTGGTTCACTGTAGTATATTTTGACAATTCCTTCTCTCAATTTGTCCATGGCTTTCTCCAAATTCTTCTTTATTATACAACAAGTTTGGAGTTTTACAAGTTTGTTTTGGTGTGTTGACATATACATCATTTGGTTGTATTCCTTACTTATAGAATTTTTTTAGGTGGTTATGTTGTAAAATTTGAAGTTTTATGGTTTTGGGTGATGATTTTATTTTTAAAACATGATTTTATTTTGAGATAATATATGAAGTGTCCTTTTTTAAAAATAAATATTTTTTAAAAATAAAATCATCTCCCAAAACCATAAAAAAAAATCAAAAAAATTCAAAACATAACCACCCAGAAAATTCTATAAATAGGTAAAACCACCAAAATGATGTATCTGTCAACAACCAAAACAAACTTGTAAAAACCCTAAGTTGATGTAGACGAAGAAGAATTTGGAGAAAGCCATGGACAAATTGAGAGAAAGGATTGTGAAAATGTCCAATAGTGATCCCAATCCGCCATTATCAAAGACCTAGAACTCGATTCTTCAATGACAACTTGATCGTTTTATGTCTGGTCTTCAGACTACCCCTGATCATCCTTCTTACACTTGGGTAATTCATTTTTACACCAAAGTTTTTTTTTGGTTAGAACTAATTAACTGATTTGAAGAAAGTTTTAACTAATCCTATTTATTTTATTTATTTTTGAATTTTCGAAAAACTTAGAGTTGATATTGGATAAAAATGAGTCATTTGGTTATAGATTTCATATTGAGGAGGAGTTAACTCTATTGAATTTGGTTGATTAACTATGTAACTTAAGATTCTTGTGGCCAAACCTTATGAGATTATAGTTTAATCTAATCATTTCTTTTGTTATAGATGATTGAGAAGGCGTTGTAATAATTAGATGAAGAGATGGGGTTCCGATGAAGACTCGATATCTAATTTATCAAGAAAGAGTATGATAGTTTGTCAAGGGCTCAGATGACCCTTTGCTAAAACATCATTCTCAAACGATGTGTGAGAAGGGAGAAGTACTTATCATTGATGAAGGATGGTTTTTGCTTTTAGCTGACATCGAAAACTTGAATCCTAAGAGAAAACGAAAGATCAAAAGAATGGGCAATTCATCAATTACACAAAAGAATGGCAACAAAAGGAAAAGGATCCTCGATATGAGGTGCATTTGGAGCAACCAATAAAACAGTGTCCTGGGAGGCTTGCTAAGTACAAAGAGGCTATAATTTAGGCATTGGCAATAAAGGAACCAATAGATCAACGTCGTGAGAAGGCTCTCAAGGGCTAGGAAGACAGGGCTGATCAATCTACCACACTTATGAAGGACTTGAATTGTCTTAGAAGAAACAAAATGATCAAGGACTAGGAAGATATAGGATGGGACAATAAAGAGGATTGTAGTTCCTTATATTTTTAATTATGATTAATTGTTATAAGTGGGTTGTATAATGTTTTGCTTCATCCATTAATTCTTTTCCTATAAAAAATAGGATTAATTATAGTTTGTCATATGTGTCTGCTGAAAGAAGAATCTCGGATTATAGTTTCATTTTGAGAGCTTAGAGATGAGTCATTCTTGATAATTCAAAATTTCATTCTTCATTTCTTATCTTGTCTTCATAACTATCCCTCATCACCATCCTTATATTTAGTAACTCATCTCTTCATATAATATTTTTATTAATCTTTCATTATGATGAATTGTTGTAAGTGATTTGAATGGAATTTTACTTCAACCTTAACGTCATTTTGAAAAAATTAGGGTTAATTGAGGAAATCATACATACATCTTAGATACAACAATCAGTGTAACCTCAGAAGTGGGGTTTAGTGATGACAGAATATAGCACTCATTTACCTCTATATTTTAGGGGGTGTAGATGTTATTTTATATAAACTCTCAACTAAGAAAATGTAAGCAACACATGAAAGTAAGTAAGAAAAAGAAACAAATATTAATACACTTAAGAGAAAAAATAAACTACGCAATACCTAAATCATGAAGTAGGATAACACTCAACTATCTACTAGCTTCCTACCTTAATCATCGACCATCATACCTCTACATATAAGGTCATGTCCTTAGTTAGTTGGAGTTGTATTATGCCCTGTCAAATTACTCCCTTAATTACTTTTCAACCAACATATACCTCACTAACTTCTACTATTTGGAGTATGATTACCACAATTCTAAAATAAGTAAAAAGATATTTTCATATTATTCAAACTCTTACAACTAAAATATGAATTACGTAATTGAAAAAATGATTTTCAATAGTCACTACATATATATTTTTTAAGTTTTCAAATTTTAAAATGAAAGAGAATAAATACTGAATCAAACAAGAGACGTGACGAAAGTCTTAGAGACATACCATGGTGGAAACAAATTTAAGGATTGATGGAAATTCATACGCCCATGTCACTCTTTATAAGGATCAAGTAAATTATCTGAGTCTTAGCCAAACGCAATATTAAAGGTCACTAAATGTTTCTCTTTTTTTTTGGAAGTTCAAGTGATCTATGCAATATTAAAGGTCACTAAATGTTTCTCTTTTTTTTTTGGAAGTTCAAGTGATCTATGACAACTCAAAAACAATAGTCAAGTCTAATTCATTCTAATTTGATACCTAATAACGACAGAAAGTAGAAGATGGTGATTGCTAAAATAGCAAAGAAAAGATAACAAAATTATTTAAATAAAACTACACAACTAGAATGGTGAAACAAAAAATGAAAAGTCAATTCAAATATCAAAACAAGACTGATAGAACCTAAGTGTAGCTAAGATTTGTCCAAGACGATGTCGAAACCATCAAACTCATCAAGAGGGTAGATCAAAAGAATCGGGACACCTCAAAACTCACTACCAAAGAGGGTTTGATTTTGCCGGACTTGTTATTTCATAGATATTAAAAACAAACACATACACAGATTCAAAGAGAGGGAATATAATGAGAGATTTAAAGAGAGAGAATATAATGAGAGCAATATAAAAGCAAGGAGGGATCCACAACTCTTCTTATCAAATAAAAGAAAAAAATGGATAGAGAGATAAAAGAAGAAGAGTAACTAGGTCACCTCGAAACTCATCGCCAAATTGTTAGCTTTTCAATATAACTATGCAGTTGTATATATTTAATAAACACAATGAATTCTTAGTAAAGAACGCTTTGGACATTCAAGCTTACCTTTGCTTGAAGAAGCCACTTGGCGAGAAAATTGTTATATATTTGTGGCAATTTGTATGGAGGGAGAAAATAAAAGAGAAAAATCAATAAAAAGAGTAATAGCAAAGGGAGATCATATTAATATTATAGATGATGGTAATTATATTGTTGTAGATGAAGAACCATCTCGAAAGAAGCATATGCCTAATTACTATTGAGGAAAATCAATAATAGTCCTAAGGCCGAAAACAATGTTATATCAAATGAAAACGCACATTGAGAAAGAAGAGAATCAGAAAAAGTACAAAAGAGATTAATGATAGAAAAAGTCAGAGTGGTCCCACTAATAATACTAGTACGCGTAAGGACTACACACCAATCCATTTTGTGTGTTCCTTACGTGTAATAGTCCTATTAATAAAACCACTTTGACTTTTTCCTTCAGTAAACTCTTTTGTACTTTTTTTTGTCTTTTTTCTTTCTCAACTTATGTTTTCAATTTGACAACATCATATTCAGCCTTATGACTATTATTGTTTTGTTCCTTAGTAGTTATAGACAATTCTTCTCTCGATCTTATTCTTCATCTCTAACAATATAAATTTTTATCATCAACAATATTCATATGATCTTTCTTTGTTTCTACTATTTTTATTATCTATCTCTTTGTATTTTCTCCCTCAATACAAATCTCACAACTATGTCACAGTCAAGTGACTTAATCAAGCAAAGTAAAGCTTCATTATCCAAAGTTTCTTTACTAAGAATCATTGTGTTCATCCCATACAATTGCATAATTATATCGTAAAGCTAACCATTAAATTTGGAAGAGTAACTTGGTTTGATTTATTTGGAATTGTTGCATTGCTAATGCAAAAACTAAACACATGCATAGATGGATAGAGAAGGAAATAAAGCGTATCGAATTTAGGGACGATCTACGCCGCCTAACTCAAATCTAAGCCAACTTTTTACTTAACCCATGGACAATATCCCTACCCAATGAGCACCTTTAAGTGAGATCCAATGTTTAATTTGGAGGAAGAAACACCAACCACCATAATCTGCATGTTTTTTTCATCTCTTCCTCGAATTTCTTTATGAAAGAGGAAATATTCTCGTTGGCTACTGTGGTGGGGAAGTCGTTGCAAGTTGATATGGAAAAAAAGAATCAAACTAGACCTAGATATGCTACAGTTAAGGTTGAGGTTGATATGTTAGGTGATTTCTCAAAGAGGATAAAAATTAGAGTTAGGAAGTCAGGGGTAAAAATACGAGTAAGAAGATGGAGGAGACTTCAAAGGGGAAAGGGAAGATACAGAGCGATAGAACAAATAAAAAAATCATAGAGGGGAAAACTAAAAATCGGAAGTATAACAGAATATAAGGAGGACAAAGAGGAATTTCAAGTGCAAAGAAATAGAAAACATATAAGGAGGGGAAGAATACAAGTGTGGAATCTGAAACCAACACGACCAGAGAGAGGGTAAAGAAGATGATGACTATAGGAAATCAACTTGAAGATCTATATGATCCTAAGCTAAGGGATGCAAACAAAGGAGAAAACACTAACAAAGTAGTGGGTAGAAAATGCCTTTATTGAATCAAAAGGGGATTAAGAACACGAAACTCCCTGAGAACTAGAAACATATTATTGAGGGAGTAGAAAATTCCTTGGGAACTGGTGTAGATTATGGAGGATGTTATTTGTATAATTGACCGAGATGAGATAGAAATGGATCATGTTTTCAGAGAAAGTAATCAGTACTTAGCATATATATTGGCTGACAATGCCAATAGTCACACAAAAAAGCAAGAGTACATGCATTTTAATCAGATGCATAACTCTTATGCAGGATAATACTAACACATGGACAAACAATAGATCATGTTTCGTGTGGCTAAACGAGGAAGACTAAAGATACCAACCAACATAGACTACATTTCCATTGATTATTAGCACAGAGAGTCTCACAGATATTATATGTACAAATTAAGCTTGTGCCACTACAAGGGCCTAATATCTGTGAGAAAATGAAAAGATACTTAGCCTAGTTATGACAACTTACAAAAAGGGCCACCAGCAGAAGTTGAGGGATATATGGTCAGATTTGAATCCAAAGAGCAGCAATGTTTATGCACCAATCGGAGATACAACCCAAGAGCCGTCAATTCCTTTCCACCTCGACCTTCAATGGTGAACCTGAGGAAGTAAGAGAGTTGAGAAAAGGTAAAGGGATGAGTTCAAAGGAATTAAAAACCTAATCACCTTCGAGATTAACAAACTTGCTATTGACTAAGCACCTCGTACAATCCAGCTGAAACTTTAAACCGGACCACTCACCTGAGAACATAAATGGAGATCAGCAGATATTAGGCTTTAGGCAAGATGAAAGAGGAAGATTAAACTTACCTTTTGAAGCTACAAAAGATATGTGATACATACTAACCATTAAAAACCACTGATTGCCCATAACAGGAGACGAAGGAAATGAGAGTTCACAAAAGGGAAGAACATGCAGGCGGCGGAGTAGATATCACAAAGAGGAGGAGCATTTGAAGAAGCAGATTAGGAAACAAGGGTTAGAAAAATGCTTATAATGATAGGGATTGATTAAGGGGCCTATTTCTATTGGGCTTGGTAGACATGTCTTAGTTTATTTTTTGGGCTCTTCGCTATTTTTTTTAAGGGAAATTTTTTAAAATGTCAATATTTTAGCATTTAAGAGGACTCATTAGCAACAATTTCAATATTTAGTAAAAATGTCATTTTAGTTTGTTATGTATATTTTTATTATTTATTTTTATTTAAAGAATATAATTATTTAATAACAAAAAGGAGAAAATTAAGGGGGGAATATTTCAAAAAAAGGCAAGCATCCTTAATTTTTTCATCAGTTACATTTTCAAATTAAATATAAATTTTATTTTTTTCTCCAGAATTTTACCTTTTTAAAATTATATTCATTCCACAATATATTCTATTTACATTTATTATAGTTTTTTATTAGTGTACTCATTTCAATAGGTATGCCGAATTTATCTATATAGTCATTTAAGAAATATATTTGTATTTTCATATATTTTTTCCTTATATAGTTATTTTTTTCTTCAAAAATCTTGTATGTATTCATTTCAATATGTATTTTTTTGTATTTCTATTTATTCTAGTTTTTATTTAGAATTTTGTATAATAATATATAAAATACAAAAAATTAGTATGATGAAAAAGTGAATGAATAAGATTGAAAAGAAATAATTGAATATTTGGTGTACTCATTCTTAAATAAAACACATAACTAGTTGACATACATTTAGAATAAATACAAATTAGAAAAAAATATCAAATTCAGTTGACATACATTTGTTAGTTTGTATTCATTCCAATATGTATGTCAAATAAAATGTAGCTATTTAAGAAATACATTTGTATTCGTATATATTTTCACTATGTATTTATTTTTCTTTTCAAAATCTTGTTTCCTTTTCTAAGTTGTAATCATTCCAATATGTATGTCAAATAAAATGTAGCTATTTAAGAAATACATTTATATTCGTATATATTTTCACTATGTATTTATTTTTCTTTTCAAAATCTTGTTTCCTTTTCTAAGTCGTATTCATTCGAATACAAATAAACTAATAGAAAGTTGTTCTTCTTATAAATAAAATATATAATTAGTTGACATACATTTGGATGAATACAAATTAGGGACAAATACAAGATTCATAAACCATGCAACATGAAATTTTTAATAAATATAAATATTGATAGTATACATAATGATTTGAATACAAATTAAAGAAAGCATACCAAATTCTAAAAAAGAACTATAAATACAAAACAAACTAATAGAAAATTGTTCGACAACTATTCGATCTTCGTCGTCTTTTTCAAGATCCTCATGAGTAGACAAAGATTCTACATTTGCGTTATGAATTTGAGGAAGGTTTTGCACACCAATGAGTCTTGCAAATGTTCTTACCCTCTTTCTTCCCTCATTTTAGCAGCGGATCATACATTATACACTATTTGTTAAATAATAAATAAATTAAAGGATGAAAAGTCACCAGATATTGGTTGATTAAGATGAATACCTTTAGTAAGCCTCTTGGATTCAGCCATTGGAGAGTAAATCATAACGGAAATTGAAAAATACAAACAATATTTCTTTAAGATTTAAACAAAAATAAAATTATAAAAGAAATCTGAAAATAGGATAAAGATTAGAGATACCTTAATCAAAGGGATTCTTGTTGATTCAATTTTGGATTAAAAAAACAACCAAAATATATGGCAAAAAAATATTTGCAACTTGAATGTTGGAGGAAAATCAGAAAAGATAACAATGAGAGAGAAAAAAAATTAAATGGGAGAGAGAACTAACAATTTGAAAAGATAAATATGAAAGAGAATGATTTTTTTTCTAAAAAAAGGATATATAGAGTTAATTGAAAAAGAGAGATTGTCACGACCCAAATCGGGCCGCGACTGGCACCCGCACTTCCCTCCTGTGTGAGCGAACCAACCAAACCTAAACCTTAACATTTCAATATACTATCAACATAAAGTAATGCGGAAGACTTAAACTCATTAATGAAAACCAATTCAATAACTATTATTTCCCAAAATCTGGAAGTCATCATCACAAGAACATCTACTTCAAATTACTAAATCTAAGAGTTTCTAAGAAGCTAAAAATACATAAAAGCTAGTACATGCCGGAACTTCAAGGCATCAAGACATGAAGAGGAAGAACCAGTCCAAGCTAGAAACATTAGCTCACCCTGATATCCGGAGTAATGAAGACTGGCTAGAGTTACTGTTGAGTCGAAGATGACGGCACGCTTACTGCACTCCACAATTAAACAAGAAGAAAACATAAAAGTAGGGGTCAGTACAAAACACGGGTACTGAGTAGATATCATCGGCCAACTCAAAATAGAAATCAATATATACCAAGTAATATCATAAAATCAATTATGATACTCAACATGTAGCAACAACAAGTACTATGTCATAATCAATTACCGTCAAGTTCACACATGAGGACTCAAGCCTCAATACCATACTCATTTGGGAATTATGTTCATTAGATTGAGTATATTAATCATCTTTCAAGATTCATTATCTTTATTTCTCTTGTGTCGGTACGTGACACTCCGCTCCCTCATATTCATTAATCCTCTTGCGTCGGTACTTGACACTCCGATTTCCTAAATCTACGTGTCGGTTCGTGACACCCGATCCCCTAAATCTACGTGTCGGTTCGTGACACCCGATCCCCTAATTCTACGTATCGGTTCGTGACACCTTATCCCCTAATTCTACGTGTCGGTTCGTGACACCCGATTCCCTAATTCTACGTGTCGGTTCATGACACCCGATCTCCTAATTCTACGTGTCGGTTCGTGACACCCGATCCCTTAATACTACGTATCGGTTCGTGACACC